GTCTGTCAATCTGCCTGCCCTCCATTGAAATTCAGAATGTAAACTCCTTGGGGCAAGGCCTGTCCTCTTGCTTATAGTGGGTCCTGTTTACACGGATGTCGCTCTCTAAAGAAGCAACGTGAAAGCTGCAGGCAGTGCGGCACCCGGGTGTTTTAGATGGGAGAGCGAAGCTGTGCCACGTAATAAAAACCTGTCTGTCTCCCGTCAAGAGGGCCCCGGGCCCTCTTTGGCGGTGTCGCTCCAGTACAAAGGGAACTTTCATATATTTTTTTTTAACGTAGGAGTCTACCTTGCCGCTTTCCCTCCCGTTTCAATATGTTTAAAGTGAATGTCTTTTTTTCACCGATGAAACTTCTCGGAGGGGTTTGATCTCCCTGTAAAATGGTTTATAGAGCCGGCGCCCTCGTTCGGAGGGACTTGCCTCGGTTCTAAGTGGCTTCCAGTTGACTTCACGCTATCTTGGGTTTTATGGATACCCTTGAGCTCTTTGTAACCTTGTACGTCTGCAGGTAACATTAATTAGTGTTTAATTATCCTTGGCGCAGCGATTGCTGGCTCGTGAAAGAGGGGTCCCTCCAGGAGCATAAACCTTTTGGCTAAATGCGCAGCGCCGCCTGAATGGCGATGGGAGCGCAGCTGCGTGCGCGGCACCTGGAGGGGGAGACAAAGCAATATGGCAGCCGCCGCCGCCGTTAGAAAGATGCCCCCCTTGTAATCCACAGAGGGGTGAGCTGGGGTGTGTGTCCCTGGAATTCTGTGCTAAAGTGTTCTCCCTTGCATTCTTCATCTCTAAATTCTGCAGTGGGGGAAATGGTGCAAATGAATCATGTGGAAGGTCAGGTTGTCTCGAATACTTCGGGGGTTTTTTAACCGTCAAAAAATTTGAGTTTTATCTCCCATCAAGGTCTTGCCTTTCCTTTTTACTTTGTATCGGCCTTTTCCTTCTATTCCACACACCCCCCCCATTGTCCTTCAATCAGTAATCCTTATATCTACTATCCAAGGACAT